GTCAGTTTTTGGGAAGAAGGCCAGAAATTAATGATACTATTGGATATCGAGTAAAAAAAAAAGGAAGGGGGGGGTCTGGTGAGCCTTCCTCAGCAAATTTTGGATTATTTCAAAATTAAAAAGTGCATTTTGGAGTATACCTGAATTAAAGGTTTCTCTTAGACTATAGCATCTGGGGAAGGAATTTTTCAACTGTCAGAGGTAGACATTGTGCCATACATAAACTGAATTCATTCAGGTTGTGGCGTGCCCCAGGGTAATTATTTGGCACAAGCTTATATTCAACCCTATAATGTAACATTGATCCCATATAAGGCTACACTTTGAGAGCAATGGAAGAAATGCTACTTTAAAAAATGTAGGTGTCAATCAGCCTTAGAACCATCGTGTGAGCTCAGCAATCCCTACAATTGCCGTTGGCCTCGGATATTTTAGGGCTTTCAGGTGTGATGTGGCAATTGCTTTATTCATCATTTTACAATGCAAGATAGGAGAGAGGACACAACCAAAAAGTGGAAAATTGGGCCTCTAAAAGTCGAGTGACACCTTTGCTTGACGTTAAGCAAATTCTTTTATATTGTTATATATTATGTGGCTTTAATTTTTTTTTTTAATTTAAAACTCTTTGGGGGTTATCTACATAGTTACTCAATGAACTTTAAAAAAAAGTTTTCATCACAAAAAAACATTGCTGTCATCGTTATATATGCTAAACACAAATGAAAAAACAACAACCTTAAAATAATTAACTTGGCTAAACATTTCCAAGTTTTATCCAAGTCAAAAAAGAAGAGGGGAAATAACTGTTAAGTAGAAAGGTCTATGTATTTTTGCTGTTATCTTAACTGGTCATTTTTTTAAATGGTATATAAACAGTTATATTATGTAAAGAAGACAGAAGTTGTTTGCAAAATAGTCGAAATTTCTCATATTCAGTTGATGAATTTTGTATAGTTTTCATGTTCAACTACTATAACCTTTTTATTAGATAAATTGAACACTGCCGCTTAGGAATATTTTTAAAACCTCCCCCAATCCACAGAATTTATTTTAAATTGACGAATTAAGAGTAAGAATTTATTATAAAAAAACAAGTACAAACAACAAATAATGGAATTGGCAGGATCATCAAAATTCTAGTTCATCTTCTTTCCTTTAGATTTGTGATAGATCCTCATATTGAAAAAAACATTAATTTTAAAAACAATTTTTGAAAACAGATGGGTCAGTTTGTTGATTATTCTACTATTAAAAAGATAAAAGCTTGTGGGAATTCAATCAATATGAGCTAAATATTTGGTTAAACCTCTGTTATTCAGGACACGCATAATGTCATTGTCAACACATTTAATCTGAAATATTTGCACCCACTCACGTGGGAGTTTTCATTTCATTTAAAATACATATCTGAGATCATTTGTGATTTTATTTTTTTTTATTGTATTCCCTGCAATATGTCACATCGGTGTGAAACGGTTTGCATCTTTTTTTTGATGTGCTAAGTAACTAGTTTTGTTTGTCTATGACATGAAATTCAGAAAAGAAATGTCATAGTTACTTGGATTCAACTAAGAACTATTTTAAGATGGTTGGATTTCAGTTAACAAAAAAAAAAAAAACACGCCCCCATTTATGTAAATAAACATATAGTAGGCCTTAAATGTGCGAAGTAATTAGGAAAATCAAATAATTGACTCTAAACTAATGTATACGAATACACAGAAGAAAAGCTGGGAGTAAAGAAAATATTTTTTTTTAAAATTAATTCACCATATTTTCCCAACCATGTTTACTAATGGAATATTTGATATAGCTTTGTGATTAACACGGAAAATAATGTTTAGAGCTTGAATAGAGTAGTATTCTTTTGAATTATTTAGCTGTTTTCTGAAATGGTTTCCATGGCGCCGCCTTGCCCTCCCCCCCCCCCCGATCACGTTAATATACCGTTTCCTGGTGGGATTCCTATACCTCCGGATCCCAATTCCGGTATGATCCCAATCCCGTCGATATTTCGATCCCGGTGGGATAACGATAACGTGGGGTACCGATCTCGGTAAATGTGAGTTTTCCGATAGGATTCCGAGCCGAGTGGGGACCTAATCCCGTTAGTATTCCGTTTCCCGGTGTGATCGTCTTTGCTGATAGAATCCAATTTCCTGATAGGTTTCCGATCCCGGTTTGATCCCGTTACCGATTGAATTGCGTTACCTTTGGGTTCAATTTAGGAAATTTATTAGAAAGAAATTATACAGCATGGTATAAGAGAAATTTTTATTATGACTTTTTAAAAATTATTAGAAAGAGAGAGCCAGAGAGAGAAAGAGAGCAAGAGAGAAGGAGAGAAAAAGAACGCAAGAGAGAGTGGGAGAGAGAGCGAAGGAGACAGAGAGAGAAAGAGAGTGAGAGAGAGGGAGAGAAAGGGCGAGAGAAAGAGATAGAGAGAGACCTAGAGACGGAGACAGGGAGAGAAAGAGTGAGAGAAAGATAGAAAGAGAGGGGGAGAGAGCGAGAGAGACAGAGGGAGAAAAAGAGTGAGAGAAAAAAAGAGAAAGAGAGAGAAGGATAGAGAGAGAATGAGAAATAGAGATAAAGAACGAGACAAAGCTAGAAGGAGGGAGAGAGAGAACGAGAGAAATATAGAGAGAGATAGAGAGATAGAGAGAGAACGAGAAAAGGACACAGAGAGAGAAAACGAGAGAAATATATAGAGAGAGAGGGAGAGAGAGAAAGATAGAGACAGAACGAGAGAAAGATAGAGAGCGAGAAAGAGAAAACGAGGGAAATATATATATATAGAGAGAGAGAGAGAGAGAGAGAGAGAGAGAGAGAGAGAGAGAGAGAGAGAGAGAGAGAGAGAGAGAGAGAGAGAGAGAGAGAGAGAGAGAGAGAGAGAGAGAGAGAGAGAGAGA